ATAGATTTTCTAGCACTCTCTGATTTTCAGTTCAAACCACATATATAAATTAATTCAATTTACTATTAGGTTCTTAATTAAATCAAAGTCACACAACTGCGATTGATTCTATCAATCAGTAATAGAACAATGTATTTAGTCACTTTCACTCAATGTCAGCACTTTTCTACCGTAGCGAGCGAACAACAAGCCAGAAAAACGCCAGCAGAAACCAAGACCGTCAATCGAGAGAACACATGGACTAGATTCCCGGAAGAAAATCGCATGCAATGAATAAACAATTGAATAGCATTTCAACAAACCATCCTTTATTTATCAAGAACCCACAGTTCAATCAGTGCACATCTCATGCATGATGCCACCACAGATTTTATAACTCACGTAATTGTACTTCCCTCTTGCCTAATCCAAGTCCGTTCTGCATTTCCTGGTTCACTTCAGTTTTCCTTCTTGGGTGGGGTTAACGACAGGTCAATGCTCCTTCCCTCGCCGACAGCCGCATAGAATCACGATGGCCGGTTTCTATTCTCCACTATACTGTTCTTCGATGGCGGGTACCTTTCACCAATTTACAATGGCCGGTACCAACGCCACTATTCACTTTTGTCCTGCACTACGCGACACAGTTCAACAGTCTAACGCGGTTCACAATCCGATATTCTCAGGTTTTTCTAGCTCCAACGGTCCACCGGTCCGTAATCCGGTTCGAAGGACCAAAATGTTCTTACCGGTACCGTTGGAATATCCCTGGATTCGGAATTTGGAGGAATTCACTATAAAACACACGTTGGATATGTGAACCGAACAAAAGAAAACTTGATCTTTATTTAGCTCGATAAGGTTTTTGAAAGACAACTTTATTCGAGGTGAATGCGCGCACGATCAATATCTAACTAACTGCCCTGTGTATATAAAACGATACACAAGGGTCAGTGTGGTGAATATAAACTCGCGAATTATACCGATCTCGGTAGATCGGGCCTAACAGTACCTAACATCTGTGTGTTGATAAAGAATGTGAAATGATAATAAACGAACTGATCAGAGTGAGGGAGAATAATACTGTTTCGATAGTGTGGAACATGTTCGGGTTACCAGTTTAACTTCTTTCAGCTAATCTTAAACACTAACTATTGGGCTGATTTCAAAGATCTTAATATTAAATGAAAGGTAATTAAAAATTCGTGTCAATAGTGTTATTAACAAACTGGGATTTTCTATTGAAAAACATTGATTGTATTCGTTTATTAGGTATAGTTTTCATGGTTTGTAGACAGAGGTTTCAATATGTTTTTTTAAAGGTTTCCTTAAAAGATTGGGCTTTTTTACACAACATATCAAAAAATCAGCGATGTGTTGTTTTTCGTGAGCTGATGATAAAAATTTCATCCTTGAAAAACTGCACGGTTATCAGGCAATGACATTTATCAAGCACCTACAATGGCGACCAGTGAATTCAAATTGCGTATGCCGAGTCGGTAGTCACCCAATTGCGTTGTCTTTCCTCATAGCTGATTTGAGGCAAGACTGGATTGTTTGACAGCCGGTATATCTCATACGTTTAGCCATTTTTTAGCGTCTGTAATATAACAAAAGTATAGTGTAAAGTTTTGTTAAATATAAAGTTATACAGATAACTGTTACACACTGAACCTATTAGCACTCAGATTAAGATCTTTCTTAAAGCTGAGTGTAAATCGAGTTTGGTTTGAACTTCTTGTTAACATCTTGCTTCTGGATATTTGTGAAACTCAATTTTCATAAACTGCTCCCTTTTTATACCGGTAGACGGCAATGTAACAGGCGTGAGTCGTACTCACGATATTTTTTTAGGTGGCGAACTCTCATTTTTACCCTGTTCATACCCTCTAGCAACTCTGTAGTAATTCAAGGTGAGGGCTACCTAAACTCACTGGGTAAGAGTAACTAACCTCATGTGAGTTTCATTCCTGTAGTATCGGCATTATCGTTTAAACGATTTTCAAAAAATATCGTCATGGTTGCCAGAATTTATTTTCGATCTCGCCGTTGAGTCAAACATATCTATTTATTTTTAAAAATCCAAGCAAATTTTCCGCCCCTCAGGATGATTTAGTGGTAAAGGGTGATACGGTCAAAATTTGGTCAATATCAACTTGACGTATTTCTTTCAATTTTGCATTTAAAAAACCTGAACACCCCTCATTTTGAAGGTGTGTGTGTGTAGAATGTTGCTCCTATTTTGATTTTGGAATTCACTCTTCAGTTGTCAAAATGCCGTCCAAGCAAGAAGAGCAGCGTATCAAAATTTTGCTCGCGCATCGCGAAAATCCGAGCTACTCGCACGCAAAGTTGGCAAAATCGCTAAAAGTTGCCAAATCAACCGTTACAAATGTAATTAAAGTGTTTGGGGAACGTTTGTCGACAGCCAGGAAGTCTGGATCGGGGGGAAATCGAAAACCGGAAGCCGCTGAGACGACAAAGAGAGTTGCCGGTAGTTTCAAGCGAAACCCTAACCTCTCTCTCCGAGATGCCGCAAATAAGCTGGGTGTATCGTCTACAACCGTGCATCGAGCCAAAAAACGAGCCGGACTATCGACTTACAAGAAAGTAGTGACTCCAAATCGCGATGATAAACAAAATACGACGGCCAAAGCGCGATCCCGGAGACTGTACACGACGATGCTGACGAAGTTTGACTGCGTGGTAATGGACGACGAAACCTACGTCAAAGCCGACTACAAGCAGCTTCCGGGACAGGAGTTTTATACGGCAAAAGGAAGGGGAAAGGTAGCAGATGTTTTCAAGCACATGAAACTGTCAAAGTTCGCAAAGAAATATCTGGTTTGGCAAGCCATCTGTACCTGTGGCTTGAAAAGCAGCATTTTCATAGCTTCCGGGACTGTCAACCAAGAAATTTACGTGAAAGAGTGTTTGAATAAACGTCTGCTGCCTTTCCTGAAGAAACACGGTTGTTCCGTACTGTTTTGGCCGGATTTGGCATCTTGCCATTACGGTAAAAAGGCCATGGAGTGGTACGCCGCCAACAACGTGCAGGTGGTTCCCAAGGACAAGAACCCTCCCAACACGCCAGAGCTCCGCCCAATTGAGAAATACTGGGCTATTGTCAAGCGGAACCTAAAGAAGACCAAAAAAACTGCTAAGGGCGAGCAGCAGTTCAAGGCAAACTGGCTTTCTGCGGCGAAGAAGGTGGACAAGGTGGCTGTACAAAATCTGATGGCAGGGGTCAAGCGTAAGGCCCGGCAATTCGGATTTGGAAAAGCGGAAGCCTAACTGAATATTTTTCCTGAATTTTATACTAATTGAACTTGAAAAAGAAATTTAATTTGATTTTTTAAATAAACGATTTCACCGATTTACACGCGTTTTCCCTTGACCAAATTTTGACCGTATCACCCTTTAATTACCACCTTCGCCAGCTGCTGATTACAAGACACAAAACTTTCGGATACCTACTATCTCCTTTATTGAACTCCGGTAAAAATCTTTCAACGATCGTCACTACTAAAGTGGCTTCATTTTTTCACAGAGTCGCTTTTCGAAGCACGACAAGCGAGCTCTCGATTCTCTTCATGATATTTTTTTTTAATTTTTTCCAGATTTTCTACACGATACATTCATGAAAAAAAATTCTCAAAATAGAACGAAAATCAATGCCTACTATGACTACGTGGCTGTCTCGGACAGTCCTGCTCGCTTCTTTCTCTTTTATTATTATGAGGGAAGCGAAATTAAGCAGGATATTGTGCTACGAACAAATATTAATTGATTTATCACAAAGTCGACAAAATCAATATAGATCTTACTTGAGAGTTAAAGAAAACTTCTTTAATGCCATTTGGATTAATGCAACCATCGTTTGAACCTTATATGACTGCATTTGTTCAATTCGTAACAGTTGTATCGTCAATAGTCCATATACGCCTTCATAATCGGCATTGTAAACTTCAAAACACTTGTTCTCAAAAAACCCAAGATGAAATATTTTAAAAACATCACAGATTTAATTGTTCGGATCAATACTAACATCCTGTGAAGAAAAATCTGAGGTACATGAATGTTGCAAAAAAAGTGCCTTCAGACATAGCGTGTGCCATAAGCAATAAGCTTGAAATGCGAAGAGGAAGGAAGGAATCTGGGAGAGTTGCGCCAAATGGCATCACCTTAAACTCCAAAGGATCCAGAACAAGATCCTTAGGATGATCCTAAACAGTCCCCAGCGGACTAGAAATTCTGAGATCCACCTCCTAGCTGGAACACACCCCCAACGCAGTATTCTGTAAACTAGTTGAAAAAACGCAAATATTAAATTACAATATCAAATTAAACAAATATGAAGAGCCAGGCAGGCTAATCAATTAAAAAAAGGACTATCATAATCAACAGAAATAAACATAATTTTACTACTGCCTCTCACATCTCCCGGTTGGGTGAACATTTTTCAAAACATATTAAATTTGATGTTGAAATTTCAAATAAAATTACCAATGATCATATGAAGATTGAAACTCTTTTGTGAACATTTAAGTTTTTGTAATATTTAAATTCCCACTATTACGGTTCGTTCCACTCATCATTGGAATGCATTTATCACAGACAAACAGACGTAACACTTCATTGTGTATCTTCGTTCACGCATTTAACGGTTGATTTGAATATTATAAGTTCCGCGAACTACTCGCCGCAGCGCTGGCATCGGATCACTTTGACGTTTCTATACATTATATAGAACTTGTATGCAATATTGTTTGCGAGTTGGCGAGTTGTTTTCCGCGAGAAGCCCGAGAGATGTCGTTACTGAGGTCCTATGTTTTGAGATACTATGTTTGCAAGAAAAACTGTTTCTAAGAATTACGTCTGTTTGTCTGTGCATTTATTATGTCACGCTTAAAAGGGATATGAGCGGTTAATTTTCCCTCAATTTCGCGAGACATTATTAATGCATGACCCCAAAGTTTCTCTGAAAACTAACGTTTCTTAACTTTCATTTTTTTCCGCAGGAACTCTCCCAAACCCTAGACGACGACAAAACTTTATCTGAGCATCTTAAGTTACCCATCCAACGGATCAACGATTATAAACTACTTTTCAAGGTAAGTCACGAAACACAACCTTTTAAAAAAAAAAAACATTGGATACATCATCGGAACCCAAACATTCCCCCCAGTAGCAGCGAGCAACACCTGTTGCACACCGACGTGACGCGAGCCGCCTGGTCGTGCATTCTTCCCTGCCAAACGCACCGTGAATGATCCCCACCACAGATTTCATAATCTGTGTCATAAGACCGTCGTCATTTGGTCGTCGTTTGTTGCATTATCTTCCCCCCTTGGTGGCCAAAAATATCTTCATCCAAAGCCGTGATCCTGCTGCCTATAGGACTTCATTTCACCATCTGCCCAACAAGTAGGCTGCGATGCAAGCATGTAATGCCGTTTTGTAAACACTTGTCGTCAGACGCACACACACACACACACACATTCCGGGAAGATTATTTTTAGAGCACCCTGCAAAATCCAAACGGCGCGGCGGCAAATGGCACGTTTGTTTATTACGTACACATACGAACCGCATCGTTGAGGAATCCGTTCTGCGTGCTGAGGACAATTTCATTGGATTTTTAACGGAAAACTGTCGCACATTGTTACGACATGTTTGGACTTACAGTATTATCGTCGTAGGCTACAAGTACTCACGAACGGAACTTTGTCTCAGCACTGTCTGTTTCCAACGGGGCGAAGAAAGACAGAAGTGTCATCGTTCATGCATTTAACGATTGATTTATTATATTATAATTTGCGGCAACTGCTGGCATCGGATCACTTTGACGTTTCTATATAAATTCTGTTTACCTTGCGTGCAACATTGTTAGCGAGTTTGTTTTCCGCAAGCAGCGCAAGAGATGTCGTTACTGATGTCCTTTTTATTTGAGGTACAACTCTTTCAAGAAAAACGTATTCAAAGAGTTACCTCTGTTTGTCTGTGGTTGTATCTTGCATCAAACTTAATGGCCAGCAGCAGTTTGATCGCACGCACTGAAAGCATGATCTTAAACATCTCTCTTGACACCATACACCGAGTAAATTATTGGAAATCCCTAAGTGCACTCTGCCATTTCCTTAATCCACAGAAATCCCTATCCGAAACAATTAACAGACACATATTTGTGAAAAAGCTGAACACTGAGTCAGTCCGCCTTTGCCTACACCTATTATGATTCATTTTTTTTTGGCGAATACCGTTCCTAAAAATAGTACATGACACAGTTCGGCGTAATCGTGCCGTCTATTTTTCTCCTCACTCAAACTCAGGTGTGTATATTTTCTTTTTTGCATTCGAAATTATGCGCGCTCTTTTAATGAAAGCACCTACACAGCTACCTATATAGGGGAAATGGCTCTAATGTTGGCCTAAAGATTGGACCCATCGATTTTCTTAGAACAATGAGTCATCTGGACCATACAAATGAATATTTTCGGTTGCTAGTGAAATTCCTTCGAAATTGATGTAGGGACACTTAGGCCAACATTAGGGACATCAACCCTACATTGGATTAATGTTTTCGATTCGCTTAGTGTTGAAACAAATGTTGTTGAACCTAGATGATCTAGGCCAGAAGAAGTCCCATCAGCCGAATATTCCCTACAAGGATTTCTTCACGTATTTACTTCAGACGTGACTGACGAGGTCGCGGGTCTCGCATCAAGGTTATTATTTATACGCTCTTGATTTGAAATTTTTCCCCAGTAAACTAGTTTTTCACGATATTTTCGTCTGGAAAACTAATGCGTGGTCGTTGAGTACAGCCTTGGGGGAAAAAAGACGAACAGACGATCAGCCAAAGCGCAAAAATAGATCCACACTGATGGTGGAAAACAACTTGAGCGATTAGTGAGGGCGTGTTTGGTGTGTGCGGAATTTCTTGGATCATCGTGTTTTTTTTTTTGGAAGCAATGACGTTCGGAATTTTGATTTAGCGTTACTCGTAATGGGGTAATTTACGCTCGGAGCGGAACTAATTGAAAACGCTTTTCGGTTGACCTTAGATTATATGATTTACTCATGATTTCTCCCACCTCTATCCACAGGAACTTCTCAAATATTCCACTGCCCTTGGCGAAAATGTCACCGACCTCCAGAAGGCCCTAGAGTTGATGCTCTCGGTGCCCAGTCGTGCAGCGAATAATCGATACTTGGAGAGCATCGAAGGTTTCCGCGGAAACCTCCAGAAGCTAGGTCGCGTACTCGCCCACGAGTACTTCGGAGTCAAGGACAAGGAGAACAAAATCAAGGAGCGCTATCTGTTCCTATTCAAGGCCCGCCTTCTCATCACCAAAGCGAAACGACTGTCGGACGAAAGATCGATCTTCTTACTCAAGGACATCGTCAAGCTACCGGACGTACAGATCAGGGACGTCGATTCCCGTGCCTTTGAGCTACTTCCAAAGGTCGGCGGACGAGGAGACACCGTACATCTGATCGCCTACTCAGAGGAGGCAAAGCAGCGCTGGATCTACGAAATCGACGAATACGCCGATAACGCGGTTGCCCTTCAGGAGCACGCCAACGACGATCTGCGTATCGATCCAACACAGACAAACATCGACGAAAGTATCATCAAGCTACCGCAACGAATTGAAGCCCACAAGACCGACGAGAATATCAAACCTTCTGATTTCGCCGAAAGCTACGTGGTATTCAAGCACAAGACCGCACATCGCGAGGAAGCCCAATCGGTGCAAAAGACAGTAAGCCAAGAGGTTGTTGAAGCGGAAGAGGAAGAGGAGAAACCCGCAAGTGTTCGCGAACGCCTCGCAGCTCTAGAGGTTAAGAAATCCTCTCATACGGTTGAGTTAGCTGCCGGTAAGCAAGAGGTTGTCCAACAGCAAGCTCAACAGGTTGTTCAAAGCAAAACTTCCAGTGTTCAAGTTCAGGAAACCAGGACATCTTCTACAGTTGTGCAGCAAAGCTCATCGAGCAGACAGGAATCCAGCGTCCAGGAATCGAAGACTTCTGCAGTTAAGCGACAGCAAGAATCTCAACTAGACGCTCAAGCCAAGGAAGCTAAGTTATCTAGCCAAACCCAGGTGCGAACTCAGGTTGTGGAATCGAAATCAGCTGCAGTCAAGCGACAGCAAGAAACACATCTTGAATCTAAATCATCAGCTGCATCAGCACAGCAATCGGTAACTCAGGTAGTGACTAAGACATCTACCCAAGTTCAACAAAAACAACAACAGCAACACCAAAAGATCGTTGAAACCAGCTCGCAAGAACAGGAATCTGCCTCACAGGTCGAAACCAAGTACGCTTCGCTGAAACAGCAACAACAACAACAACAGAAAGCTCAGGCAGTTGAAGCAAAGACCGAATCCGTACAGGTCATCACATCGGTGAAACAGTCATCTACGTCCAGTACGCCACCGGTCGTCGACGCTGATTCCAAAATCAAGCAAATCGAATCCAAATACGAAGCTCTCAAGCAAAAGAAGCTCGAACAGAAGTCCGACGAAGTCGACGCCAAGTTCCAGATTATAGAATCCAAGTTTGCAGCACTCAAACAGCAGCAAGAACAGCATAAGCAACAGAAGCAGCAGCATACGGAACCGGTGCAAGAGCAGCCGCAAGTGAAACCGCAAAGCAAACTTCAGCAGATTGAATCAAAGTATAAGAAGCAGGAACAACAGCAGCAAACCGTTGAAGCTAAAGCACAGATCACCGAGGTTGTCGTTGTTCAGGAGCAGAAACAGGAACAGCCGAAACCGTTGTCTAAGGTTGAACAAATCGAGTCCAAGTACAAATCAAAGCAGGAACAACAAGTTGTTGAAGCAAAGACTCCGATCACCGAAACCGTTGTCCAAGAGCAGAAGCAAGAGCCGGCAAAGCCGCTTTCCAAATTAGAACAGCTAGAATCGAAATATAGCAAGAAGAAGCATTCGATAGAGCAAACCACCGATATCAGTGCAGCTTTGATTGCAGAACCAGCAGCCGTTGAAAGCGTTGAACCGCAGAGTCCAGAGACTCCGTCGAAGATCCAACAGATTGAGCACAAGTACGCATCGCTCAAACAGAAGCAGCAGCAGCAGCAGCAAGTGCAACAGCTAGTTCAGGAAGTTAAAGTATCCGAAACCGTCGAACAGCAGGAAACTCAATCCAAGCTCGCTCAAATCGAAGCCCGGCATACAGCACGTCGTCAATCGTTTCAGAAGGATCAAGAGACTACAGTTGAATCGAAAATCTCCGTCGACAAGGTCACAGATCAGAAGAAGGAAGAGAAGCTATTCACTGTACAGAAGGTCGAGGCAGTAAAGCTACCAGAAGTTCCAAAGAAGACTGAACCCACCAAACCGCTCGACGCACCAAAACCAAAGGTCGACAAAAAGGATCGCCCCAAGCTACAGATTCCGGTACCGGAAAAACGGGTAGAGGAAGCCACCAAGGCTCCCGAAAGTCCTAAGCAGAAGAAGCGACCCGAATCACCGAAGAGTCCGAAATCGAAGAAATCACCGACTAAAATACCGGATAGTCCCAAGCTACCAGAGCCGAAACCAGTCGAAAAGAAGGTTGAAAGTCCCAAGACACCAACCAAGGTCCCGGAGGCTCCAAAAGCTGTAGAGAAGAAGGTCCCAGAAACCCCTAAAACTCCAACTAAGGTTCCAGAGAGTCCTAAAGTAGTTGAGACTCCAAAGGTCGAGAAGAAGGTTGAAGCACCGAAAACACCAACTAAGGTCCCGGAAAGTCCCAAGGTAATCGAAACTCCCAAGACACCAACCAAAGTCCCGGAAAGTCCCAAAGTAATCGAAACTCCAGCTAAGGTTCCTGAGAGTAATAAAGTAGTCGAAAGTCCCAAGACACCAACCAAGGTCCCAGAGACTCCAAAGGCTGTAGAGAAAAAGACTCCAACTAAGGTCCCAGAGAGCCCCAAAGTAGTTGAGACTCCAAAGGTCGAGAAGAAGGTTGAAGCACCTAAAACACCAACCACCACTCCAAAGACACCAAACAAGGTACCGGAAAGTCCCAAAGTAGTCGAAACTCCAACTAAGGTTCCAGAGAGTACTAAGGTAGTTGACAGTCCCAAGGTCCCAGAGGCTCCAAAGGCTGTAGAGAAAAAGACTCAAACTAAGGTTCCAGAAAGTCCCAAAGTCGTTGAGACTCCAAAGGTCGAGAAGAAGGTTGAAGCACCGAAAACACCAACCAAGGTCCCGGAAAGTCCCAAGGTAGTCGAAGCTCCGAAGACACCAACCAAGCCGGTCGAAAAGAAGGTTGAACCAGCCAAGGTACCAGCAGCACCGAAGGCTCCAACTAAGGTTCCAGAAAGTCCTAGCGTAGTTGAGAAGAAGGTTGAACCACCCAAGACACCCACCAAGGTCCCGGAAACTCCCAAGCCGATCGAGAAGAAGCTTGAACCTACCAAGGCACCTGAAAGCCCCAAGGTAGTGGAAACTCCAAAGCCAGTGGAAAAGAAGGTTCCCGAACCACCGAAGACTCCAACCAAGGCGCTAGAGAAGAAATCATTCGAAGCGAAGAAGGTCGAAGCAGTTAAACTAGCGGAACGGCCCAAAAAGCAGGAACCAGTCCAGAAACCCAAAGGTAAGTTCAAATTTCTTATTAAAGCTGTGTGCGGTTCAACCACGCAGCTGGATTTCACGTTTGCCGAGCTCATGCGCACTTGAGATATATTCCGCTTTTACATACTGTTTTGAACATTTGATAAACTTAGGTACAGCAGATACCGCTAGCGTAACAGGTTACGATACTCCGGTAGCGGTTGCCGACCAGGAACCTTCTCTAGAGAATCTAGTAGAGCAGAAATCTAGAGAAGAATCCCTTAAACAAAAGCTAGAGGAAATCTACGCCCGCGAACGGGCAAACCTCGTCGAGGCCAAGCGGATCCGTCAGGCCGAAGAGGAGGAAATACGGCTGAAGTTTCAACAGCGAGGCCAACGAGAGATCCAGCAGATTAAGGAAAGTACCTCCGAGCTACTAGAGCAGATCCAAGCTACCAGGGAATCGGTCAAGTCGGTGCTAGGATTGACCGAACCAACAAAGTCGAAGTCGAGGTTACCGAAGATCACCAAGGCAACTGATTCTGATTCACAGCAACAGCAAACGCCTTCGCAAGATCAGAGCACTGATCAGGAAGGATCAGACCAAGGAGGATCAAACGACGCAGGTGGTGAGCAAAACAAACAAGGAGAGCAAAGGGGAGATAATCGCGAAGGATCAGGAGAAGGCAGTGGAGGTAAGCGAACTCCGCCGCCTTTACAGTTACCAACGTTCTTCGATCCCCCACCACTCCCAGTATACCAGGCTACCATTGAAGTATTCATCAAGAAGGAACGTCCACCGCCACCACCACCACCAAAGATCACTAGGAAATTGGTTGTGAACACAGACGAACTCGAGCGAAAGACACAACTGTTCTTCGAAGGTCACATCAACGAACCGGATCCAGACTACAGTACAGCGGCTGCTCTTCGAAAGATCAAGGGTATCAAGCATCTGTTCGGTAAGACAGGCCAAACGGTAAACTACGCCGAAGACACCATCCATAAGGCCGAACAAGGTGAATTCGAGAGTATTCTGTTTCCGGAAGAGGAAGAACCCAAACCGAAGGAGCCAGCTTACGAATACCAGTACACCGTTGAAGATCCGGTAACTGGTGAGAAAATTTGTACCGCAGATCCAAACCTCGTGCTTATCGAGAAGAGAGCAGCCATGGATGAACAGCATACCTCTAGGTACTCATCGCTGAGGCATTCCACCCGTCACGGTCGAACCCTAGAAGGTACAGTTGGAAGTGTTGATGCGAGCGAGCGCTCCTTCTCTGTATGTGTCTCTCTGTTATCTATATATCTGTTAACTCGCACACTTCGTAGTAGTTCGGCACAGGCGTCTAGGCACCAACCAATGCAATGCTCTCCAACCCAAATCGGCGTATCGATTGATGGCGATTAATAGCATGCTCCTTCACTTGTACTTGTATCCGTCTTGTTTATTTGTATCACAAATTCTATTTTCAGTTGCAGTTTGCCTCGTAAGAACATTCTCTTTTGTTTGAGCACCGTCGAATATCCGAAAAAAAAGAAAGTTTTTCACTAACCGAACTGAATTGGTGTTTTCATTCCGATCTAACCGAATGCTCCTCCATATCATCTGTCTGCATTTTTCCCTGTTCACTGTTTGCCGTATTCCAAAAGTAGTACTAATCTGGTTCCTTCTCGAACCTCCTTCACCTTCGATAATTTCCTCTGTCTATGACCTGTCGTCCGGACGTTTAGCGCAACTCGAGGAACTAGCAGATTTCGAGGTCAAGCACGAAGAGAAGATGTCGACTACCCGTACCGAGAAACTGCGGGTGCCAACCAACATTCGGCCCCGCTTTTTGAATGCCATTCACGGCCTGAGCGTCGAACGTAAGTTGTCGTTCTGTCACCAGTATAGTCATAGACATTCAGAAACAGTAGAAGGTCAAATCGGAATGCGTGGATTTGCGTTTTGAAGCATTCTCATTTGACGGTATTCTACAAAACAGAATTCAGAACCAGATTGATAAACAACCATACAACAACATTCACTACATTTCGGTAGAATCATAAATCACGCTTCAAACCGGCTTATTGGAGTCCATTGTCCGCTTGAGTTCAATGTCAAAATTAAACGAACAAAGCTTTTGTAGATATCTCTCTCTTTCTTTTTCTTAAAACTAGCTTCTAGAGTACGCTTCCACTTCTCAGAGTAAATAATTTTTCGTAAGTGTCCCGTCCGAATTTGTATCTAAGAAAGCTTTGGATTAAACATACCTTCAGAAACAGAGACGACCCTGAAGAAGCACCACCACGCCAAACAAAGGCAACCGAAACGTTGTCACTTACAAACACCTTCAAGAGACCCCTCCATTGACTCCAGTATTACTCGTCTACCACACCCACACCCGTAAGTCTGTCCTGGTTCAAAATCTAATAGATATTTCCTGTGTACTGACAAACAGCTGGCGAGAATGCAAAGTTTGCGTGTCAAATCGACGAACTTTCCAACGTCCAATGGCTCAAGGACAACAAACCGCTCAATGACAAACTGGCCGATCGTGTCATCGTCAAGGAATCCGACGACCTAACGCATACCCTGGAGATCCAGCACTGTCGCGAGGAGGACAGCGGTACCTATACGGCTCGGGCCATCAACGGCACGGAGAATGCCTCCTGTACGGCGCAGCTAATCGTAGAGAAATGTAAGTAGACGACTTCCATAGATGGTGGGTCATTTAAGTTAACGATATGAGTTCTTTCCCAACCCAGTGACCCCAGAGCAGAGGAAGGCGCTCGCCGAAACCAATGCACCTGTATTCACTGTTACCCTCAAGGACACTGAGGTCATTGAGAAGACCTACCTGACCTACATGGTCAAGGTCAAGGGAGATCCCCAGCCAAAGATTCGATTGTAAGTATATGAACCTCGAGAGGACATCCCTCACTAACCTTTGCTTTGTATGCTCTCGTTTCAGCTGTAAGGACGATCGTGAGATACTCGACACCGACAAGCGTATGAAGGTCGTTCGCGAGCGTGAGGACAGCGGATACTACGAGTTGATTATTCCCGAAGTCCACAAGGGCGACTGTGGTGTCTATTCGTGCACGGCTTACAACAAATTCGGAAGCACCAAAACCCAGGCCCAACTATTGGTATCAGATCAGAAAGAGCTATTCTATGAGCTGGACACTCTCGAGGATAATAATAAATTTGTCTGGAAAAAGAACGGTGTGGCCTTCGATCCGGAAGAGCGTTTCAAGGTATTAATGGCTGATGATTCCGATTCGTTGGCGCTTGTCTTCCAGCACGTAAAACCAGAAGATGCTGGACTCTACACTTGTGTTGCCGCCACCTCTTCCGGCAATATCCAGTGTAGTGCTGAACTCACGGTTCAGGGACAAGTCAACCAACTTCAACAGGAACCATCCAAGCCGCACCTAGTAGTTTCATCGAAGGACGCACTGGCTCGAATTGGCGGCAAAGCACTGCTCGAGATGAAAGTCCACGGCTATCCAAGGCCGGAGCTCGTCTGGCGTCACGAGGGCACCATTATCGAACCCGTAGGTCGCTTCAAGTTCCTCTACGAGGACGCCGAATCCGTAACGCTGGTCATCATGGATGTGCAACCTTCGGACGCCGGTGCCTACTCCATCGTTGCACAGAATCATCTGGGCGAGGACTCGACCTTTATCAATCTGATCGTCAAGTATCCACCGACCATCGTCAAGCCACACGACTGCGGAGCCATGGTCGGCGAAAACTTCAAGATGTCAATTGAAGTCAACGCCGTCCCGGATGCTACCGTTCGTTACTACAAGAACGGCAAAGAATTCAAAGAAAACAGCCGTATCAAGTTCCTCACGGCCGAAAACTACCACATCATTAAGTACAATCCTGCTACGGCAGAAGATACTGGCAACTATTCGGTAAGAATCCTTCACGAAACGGCTTGATCATCTCTCACCAAATAACCTCCATCCTTATAGATAATCGCCACCAACGAGATCAGCCAGGCGACGGAGTTCTGGGAATTCACCATCAACTCACCGCCACGCTGTACCCACGGGCTTCCTGAGGAAACGATCGTCAACGAGAAAGAGGACATCGAACTGTTTGTCAAGGCGGACGGTAACCCCACGCCGATCGTGCGCTGGTACAAGGATGGCAAGGAAGTCTTGGCCGATGGCAAGCGAATTCTCATTATTGAAGATGACGGTCGCTTCACACTGAAGATTCATGCAGCGAATCGTGACGATACGGCACGCTACTCAGCGGATATCATTAACGACTACGGTACCATTAAACAGCGTTCGCAAGTCAACGTGAACTGCAAAGCCAAGGTTCGTGAAGAGCTGAACGCGACAACCTGCAAGGAAGGCGATAGCAACATCACGATGGCCATCAAGACTGATGGTTACCCCAGACCGACGGTACAGTGGTACATCGACGACGTCGAGATTACCGAATCACGTAACGAGTTCAAGATAGTCGAAGATGGACTGTACTACAAGTTGATCATGATGGATGCCAAGGCCGAACTTCAGGGCAAATACAAGGCCGTGTTTACTAACGTTTACGGAACGGACGAGTGCAGCGCCAAGACGACTGTTCAATGCACACCCAAGGTTCGCAAACCGCTGGTGGATACTGACGTGGACGAGAATACCACTCTGACTCTGGATGTCGAAATCTACGCCGAACCCGAGCCGGAGGTCACCTGGTACAAGAATGGACAACCGGTGCAGACCGACGCGAGATTGACGATCAAGCGGGATTCTCAACGGGTGGAGAACTATACCCTCTCGTTGACGATGGTCCGTGGTGCAGACTCTGGTGACTACGAAGTCCGTGCGGTGAACTCGATGGGAACGATTTCCAGCAAGTCCCGGGTCGTTGTACAGAGTAAGTATTCTGGTTTTGAATTCTTCTGCTGCCGTATCTATGTTCTAGAGATTAGATTTTTTTTTGTGACAAGCGATCGCTGCCGGATGGCAGCGACTATGTGTTTTTGATATATATAGATATATCTGTTGACAAGCGAAGATCGTGTTTTGTCAATAACCATTATATGTGCCATTTTGGAGTTAAGCTCAATGTGGAGTTGATTTTTGCCGCAGGGAAACACTGTGATAATGCCATTTCTATTTGTGTTGTTGAAATAAATTGCCTAATGTTATTGTCATCCAGCTGTGTATGTAGAGCAGACAGGGCAGGAAACACAACGCGCTGAATTCTTGGAGACCGAAACGGTTACGCTCGAAGAGGAAGTTATCGAACAGGTCCCAGAGGTACCTCCAAAAGGGGCTAGATCCATCCATAAGCTGACGGGCGTCACAATGGAAGTTACGGAGGCTAGGCAACTGGAAACAGTGTCTTCAGTGGAACCATCAGTTCCCGTACCGGTTCAGGAGATTGAGGCCTCCCTTACCGATAAGCAGGAAGTTCCCATCGTAGACTTCGTCTCAGTTTTAGAGATTTCCAACAACCAGGGTAAACAGAATTCAGTCAAGATCTCAGTCCAGGCACTGCAAAATCACTACTGTATTATAGAAGTCCCGTTTGGTTTTGGTTAGACCCCCGTAGCGAGTTTGACACCGAAGTGCTCTCCACCGGGTTGTTTGATGCAAGAACTTCTCGTTCTCTCGTGTACATAAAATCCCATATATCTAGCTTTAAGTCGATTTTGTGATAAACTCAACTGTGATTAATACTTGTTTATACACATTTCCAACACATACTCATCACCATCAACACGCGCATACACACACACACGTATACATTCGTCCGGATCCCCGGCTTCGTATTGTTCTGTGGCGTTGCGTCTCTGTAAATTTGTGTCCAAATCCACACAACAATCCTTTCTACCGATCCCCGTGTGATTCGGCGCTCCAACAGAGGCCCTTGTAACGAGCCCCACTGAGAATGCCGAAGCACACCGCATGTTCAGCGAATGTACCACGATCGGTCAGAACGGAGAAACGATCATGATCTCGGTTCACACCGAAGAGAGTCATGCCGCCATCGTAACAGGTAATTTTCAATCGTACTTCACACCACCATGATTCACCTGCACCGCAAGTCCACACAATCCTTCCTACAATCGATCCTTGTCGATTTCCTTGTCCCGACTTCCCTTGTCACAGCATCACACACACACACACTCATGCACAATCTCTGAATAGGCCCCGAAGAATCCCACTCGATCCATCAGATGCGCGCAACCACGATCATCTTCGAAGAAGACAGTGGATCACCGTTGGAAACTCCCCAAAGGATCATCTACCCTAACAAGCCACACGCTTCTGCCCTGCACGTCGAAGAGGTCGACAGCATAACCTTCCAATCGCCGGAAGATACGGCCAAGTATCATCATCTCACGGTCAACGAGTCCTCCGGGACTCGGCTAGTGATCGAAGAGCTGGAATCGGACAACGAAGCCGTCTCGTCGAGCACCGGCAAGTTTTCTCGAGGAGTTTCCATCACTTCGGCAACCACCTCGGACGATGAGCAGTCGATTTCGCGACAATCCAGCAGATTGGGCACGGAAGAGCCTGAGAGCGGTCAGCGCGTGCAAACCAATGGTATCTCGGCTGAGTCACAGCAAGCAGATTCATCGTTGGGCTTACAAAAGGAAGAAGCTGAACAAAGGGATGCAGAAAAGGGCAAGAAAGTTCATTTTGTAGACGATTTGGCAGATGAAACAAAAAAGGCTCGGTTGATAGAGAAGCAAGAGGTAGAGGAAGGTGATGTGGAAGTCGACGAAAGGTGCGTTAAAGTAAGTAAAGATTCGGCGACACCCAAATCAGCAAAGATGCTCGAGAAGGCAGATGCAACGGAAGGTCAAGCTGCTAAGGGTAAACCCGTAGACTCGGAAGAAGTTCAAGCTACGAACGCAGTTGAGAAAGCTCTAGAAAAGGAAGCAGCCGAAGTCAAAGCTGTTGAAGAACCAACACAGCCAGCAGCTCTTGGTGCGGATGATGGTTCGGAGAGTCTCAAATCCAAGAAACTGCGGAAGGAATCGCTGGAAGAAGCAGTACAGCAAAAGCCAGAGAAACCAAAACAAGAATCGATCAATGAACAGACTAAGCAAGCTCTGCTGAAAGACGAAACCGTCGAAGAAGACGCCGAAGCATCAAAGAAACCAAAAGAATCCGAAGTCAAACAACCCACACGTCCAGAAGGTAGTACTTTAAAGGCCCAAATCTCACATTCTCGCTACTATCACTATTTTACTACACTCGCACGCACATTTTCCATCCCTTTGCAACAACACACCAATATAGACACACTTTCCGACAAATCTCCCAAATTGGCAACGCATGCTATCTATGAATTGTACAAACACGTGACTAACGCTTGCGCGGCGGTTTCAGCTCAGCTAACCGTACTGGTCTAAATTTCGCTTCCTGTCTGCGGCAAATCCAGCGAAAGAGGGATTGGTAAGTGCACCCAACTTTCCACTCCTCTGTAGATATGGTCCTCTTTGTCCAGAAAACAAAACAAATCTGAATGTATAGGTCTAGCAAAGCAGTTCACTGCTTCGTCGGCTACCGCGCTACCAAGCAATACGGGGACTCCAAGCCTCCAAATCCAAAAACTGCCGATATCTAGGTCAGGCTTATCTGTGTCATATATCTACCGCACGTACCGTAGTGGCTAGCTACCACTTACCTGTTTTCAAAAACCAAAACAAAAATCTGTATATAGTGTCTCTAAACAATGTAAATATTTACTTAGTTTCCAACTAACTGCCGTCAGTTGTGTCGATAACTGCCATCTAACTCCCGTATTCCAATATAATCTAGCGTCTCCGGAGATCCTCAAGACCGATATCGCCGATGTCACGACGTTCGATTCCCTGCCACTTACGTGGACCGTGGAAGCCGATGGTATCCCACGACCGACCGTGTCCTGGGTCCTCAACGGAGAGGAGGTCAACGCTAGTGAACGCATCCGTATTACTGACTCGGGAGTAAGTAATGAAGCGCTCGATTGCGTTCCGCCGAATGCTGAAGTTTTGCCTCTTCCCTAGACTCTCTACAAGATCGAGAACCTCGACGTTAAGGAAGCCGACGCCGGCGAGTGGAAGGCCGTGGTCAAGAACCGCATCGGAGAGAAGACGCTGCCATGCCACCTGACCGTTATTCGTAAGTACAAGACAATTACTTCCAATGAACAGCTCAACAATGGTTCCAAATTGCAGCATGCAAGGAGTACCGCCGTCCCAAGTTCCAGAAAGGTTTGGAGGACTTCAGCGTCCACAAAGACGAACCGATCACTCTGAGCGTAACGATCACTGCCGATCCGGAGCCGGAGATTTCCTGGATCCAGGATGGTACCGAAGTGCAAGCCGACAACTTCATCCAGATGAAGACCGAAATCAAGGAGTTGGAATACAACCTCAAAGAGATCACCTACACCTTATACATTGCGGAAGCTCGTCACTACGATACCGGCAACTATACCTTCCGTGCGACCAACAAGTACGATATTAACGAGTCCAACTGCCGCTTGGATGTGCTGCTGAAGCCGGAGATCGAAAACTTCCATGATATCACCGTGGAACCGTTTACGCAGGGTGTCTTCCAGGTGCTGATCAAGGCCAATCCGAAGCCGAGGGTCGTCTGGACCAAGGATGGCATCAACCTGTGCAACGTAGACAACTGCGACGTGATTGCCGACGTGGAGAAGGAAATCTATACCCTGCTGGTGGAGTCTTGCGCCCTGACCGAACATGGAACTTACACCGTTACGGCGTCGAACACCTTCGGTGAAACGATCGCCACTGCCAAGCTGAATGTGCACAGTAAGTAATGCCAGTATTTGTCAGTCCGTTCAAAGATTAATTCCAATTAATCTTCGTAGTGACGAAACCAACCTTCACGAAGGAACCGGACAGCATCAACGTACACGATTGGGGCGATGTCTACAACAGGGTCGACATCTCTGGTTGTCCACGTCCGACTATTCAGTGGCTGCGCAACGGAACCCCACTGAATCTGGAGGAGATCGACGAGGAAACCAACGAACCGAAGATCAAGGTTGTCACTTCCGGTGATATCGAAGTAGTCAGCGAACTGTTCATCACCCACTTCGGACCTGAATGGCAAGGCAATGTAAGTGTTGCTGCGTTGATCAAGTTCAGCGCGAAGATCTAACCGGAACTGTTTCTTATTGCAGTATTCTTGCTTGGCAACGAGCATTGGTGGAGAAACGGAAGCCAAGTTTATGATTTTGGTCAAAAACGAACAACCCGTGTTCGGTAAGGGACTCGAGCGAGGTATGGATCTGGAGGAGGACGATCGCCTGGAGTTGTCGTGTATCGTTGATGGTAGCCCGCTACCGAAGATGACTTGGTACAAGGATGGCATCGAGGTTACTCCTAATGAGCAGTGAGTATCGATCAAAGACTGTATTTGTAAAACATAGAATCATTTCTACTTTCCAACTTACACTCTCCAGCGTCAAGATCACCCACGGTCACGATGGACGCTGCCGGTTGATTGTCGAGAAGGCCGATCCCGGAGACAGCGGTTGCTACAAATTGGTTCTGTCAAACAAGACCGGAGAAGTATCCACGCAATCTTCCATTGCTGTCACTCGTAAGTTCTGATTAAAATTAAAAACACGCGATCCACCCGTATTAACCTTTCTTATTTCACTCACAGCCAAGCAGCGTTATCCGATATTTGTCCGTCCACTGCAGGACCACAAGATCGTCGTTGGCGAAACACTGCACATGGAGGCCAAGATTGCCGGTTTCCCAATGCCCGAGGTAAGGTGGTTCAAGGACGGTTTGCCCATTCATCAGACCAAGGCGATCAACTTCATCAACGAACCCAATGGTATCGTTGGATTCATAATCGATCGCGTCACTCCGGAGGATGCCGGTATCTACACCTGCGAGGTGAAGAATGAGGTCGGCAAGGCCACTTCCGCTTCGATCACCGAAATCATTCCGAAGGCCAAGAAGCCCCAATTCGTCAATGAACTGCAGGACATTAGCATCGTTGAGGGCTATCCGATCAAGCTGAACGTCAAGGTTATTGGATTCCCATCTCCCGCGATCAACTGGTTGCACAATGGAACGCAGATTACGGGCGATCACTTCAGGATCACGCAAGAAGGAGAAGGTTGCTCTACCCTCACTGTCGAAAAGTCGGTGGGAACCGATTGTGGAGACTACCAGGTAGTCGCTTCCAACGAAAACGGTGACACAGCGTGCACTGGAAAGGTGACAATCTTGCCAGTTACCGATACATCAACCGGAGAGGAGCCACCAAGCTTCCTGGGAGGTATTCGCGATATCACCGCCGATGAAGGCAAGGAGCTCACATTCAGAGCTCGCTTCATTGGTAACCCAGCGCCAGAGGTTATCTGGACGAAGGATGGGGAGCCCCTCCAACCAACTGGACGTGTTACTGTCACGTGCGACGGCAAAACCGTTGGGCTGACCATCACCCCGACTGAAGTGTCCGACTCTGGCGAGTATGCTTGTCTGATGGCCAATCCACTAGGAGAAACCGAAACCAAAGCTTCGGCTATCGTCCGCAAGATGTTCCAGAAGCCGAACTTCGTCTACCATTTCCCAGATGTACAGCAACTACCTGGACTGGAAGCCAAGTTCCCAGCGAAACTGGTTGGTAATCCACGCCCGACTGTTCAATGGTACAAGAACGAGACACCGATCAATCCAAACGATCGCTACAGCATGAAGTACGAAGGCGAACACTGCTGTCTGTACATCAAGGAGTGCGTCGAATCCGATACCGGACTGTACTCGTGCACTGCTACCAATCGCGAGGGATCCAGCACCGTAGAAGCTAAACTGGACGTTGTTTCCCAACTGACAAGAGGTGACGAACCAACTCCTGCCTACTTCTTGAAGAAACCAATTGACATGACTGTGCTCGAAGGAATGAAGGCCAAGTTTACTGCTTGCGTCGATGGTTTCCCTCTGCCGACTGTGGAATGGATCCGCGACGGTCACCGTCTAGTCCCAAGCGAGAAATACCGCATCGAAGCCGACATCAACGGTCTGGCTCGTCTGATTGTTGATGATATTCAAGAGGAGGATCTTGGCCGCTACACTTGCAAGATTAGCAATAATCTGGCCGAAGTATTGGCTCACGCCAATCTACGCTTCGAAACACTGGATGCTTGCCCAAGACGCCGCTACGGAAAGGGCAAGGACAAGAGCTACCTCCATACCACCCCGTACCCACTGATGGATAGGCCGATCATCTCGAAACTGTCCGATCGTCGTATGACCTTGTCCTGGAAACCATCCATGACTACCGTTCCACGCCACCCCGTCACCTACCAGATGGAGATGATGGAGCTTCCCGATGGCGAATGGTACACCTACCGCTCCGGAATTCGCAGTTGCTCGTGCGAGGTGCGCGACCTAGAACCGTTCCGTGACTACAAGTTCCGCATTCGTGTCGAAAACATGTACGGCTCCAGCGAACCCAGTCCCTATGTCCAAACGTATAGACAGAAACTGGAGTCTGAACCTCCAGTCTTCTATCCCTATCTTGGACCGGGACGTGATTACCGCCCGGACGTTTCCCCGCTTTATCCACACAACTTCGATGTAGAACGTCCCACCCACCGTGACCAACGGTCCGGAATCACACCAGAGTTCCTTCGTCAGGAATTCCCTGTCCAATACGGAACCAAGAATCACAATGTCAGCCTGTTCTGGTTTGTGTATGGTTATCCGAAGCCAACAATGACCTACTACTTCAACGATCAGAAGATCGAAGCCGGTGGTCGTTATTGCTTCAGTTACACCAGAAACGGTCAGGCTACGCTGTTCATCAACCGCATGTCCGAGCGGGACGTTGGCGTGTACGAAGCCGTCGCTTCTAACGAGTACGGCTCCGTACGGCAACGCGTCTGCCTAGAGCTCGGCGAGTATCCACGCTTCCTGCAGCGTCCGGAGGAGGTATTCATTATGGGTCGCCGTTCGGGTCGCGTCGAAGCCAAGATCGCTGGCGTACCCTTCCCGGATGTGAAATGGTACAAGGATTGGCAACCGATCGCCGAATCAACACGCCTTAAGGTATGCATTTTTATGGCGGGAGATGAGTCCAGCAGGATTTTTTCACAATTTTCAAATTCTTTCAGATGATCTTCTACGAGCCGGACACCTGGGTTCTGCTGATCACCGATGCAATCAAGAAGGACGAAGGCTTGTACTCGATCAGCGTACGCAACGCAATTGGATCGATCAGTTCGTCGGTTATGGTCCACGTTGAGGACAACGAGGATGACTACGTGTACAATGCCCATCACAGAACCCCGTACGTCCGAGCTAGGAACAAGGTCTACGAAGACTTTTACGACATTGGTGACGAGATTGGAAGAGGTACGCAGGGTATTACTTACCACGCAACGGATCGTTCCAGCGGCCGCAACTTTGCCGCCAAGATTATGTACGGCAGCCCGGATCTGAGACCGTTCATGTTTAATGAAGTAGACATCATGAACATCCTGAACCATAGGAAGTTGATTCGTCTGCACGATGCCTTCGACATCAACAGGTCGTTGTCGCTGATTATTGAGCTTGCGTCGGGTGGTGAACTGGTCCGAGACAATCTGCTGATGCACGACTACTATACCGAGCGTCAAATCGCCATCTATGTGTACCAGATTCTTCTGGGTCTGGAGCACATGCACAGCCGAGGAATCGGTCATATGGGTCTGACCATCAAGGATCTGCTCATTGCTTACCCTGGCAGTGACAACCTGAAGATTTGCGACTTTGGCTTGTCTCGCCGTATCGAAGATGACAAAATGTACACGCTGGACTACGGAATGCCGGAGTTTGTTGCACCAGAAGTTATCAATCGCCGTGGCGTCGGGCTTGGACAGGACATGTGGAGCATCGGTATCATTACCTACATTCTGCTGGGAGGTATTAGTCCGTTCATGGGTCGAAACGACCGCGAAACCCTAACCAAGGTTCGCGACGGCAAGTGGACCTTCGTTGGCACTGTATGGGAGTTCATTTCGTCAGAAGCCCGTGACTTCATCACCAGACTGCTGGTCTACGAGGACGAACACCGCATGACCATCAAGGAAGCCTTGTCGCACTCATGGTTCGATGTCATCTACAAGCGAACCTTCGAAGAGTACCAGATCGGTACGGATCGTCTCCGCCGGTACTATTACCACTACAGAGATTGGTACACCAACGCTTCATGCCACACCTACTACCGTCGCCGTCCGTTGATGAGCTGCTTCGATCACCCATCCAAGATGGTGTATCCTCCGGGAATCATCTTCACTCCGGAAGGCACTCCACCACCAGTCACCGTCGACGATATTCCGCACAAGCGCAGGAAGTGGGACGAATACGTATCCAAGGACAACCATCCGGACTACGAGACGGCTTCCTTCAAATCCGAAAGCCAATACCAGTATGGCCCGGACACTTACCTGTTGCAGCTGCGTGACACTACCTTCCCATGTCGTCTGCGCGAGTACATGAAGATCGCCAAGCACCGTTCGCCCAGTCTGCTCAGCGAGAGCAACTACGACAGTAGTGTAAGTATAACTTAGACCAAGATGAGTTAACATTACTAATTTTGATTTCGGGGCGGGGGTTTTACAGCTACCGATCATTCGCGAGCGTCGCCGCTTCACCGATATCATGGATGAGGAAATTGATGACGAACGCAGAAGCCGTATCAGCCGCTACGGAACGGACGACAGCGTCACCATCAGTCGTCGTCTGCGTACGGAAGTGGGAACGCGTCTTGGTTCGTACGCCGAAGCCGAAGCTATGATTGAAGTTAAGCGAGAAGGCCATGCGCCGTTCTTCCGCGAGAAGCCACAGACGATCGCCATCCGTGAGGGTGAGCCGAATCAGATCATTTGCTACGCGGTCGGTGATCCAAAGCCCTCGGTCACGTGGTTCCGCAACGACATGGTCGTTACAGATAGCAATCGCATTAAGGTGCTAGATGACGTCGATGGCCGTTCGGTTATTCAGTTCCATCCGGCGTCACACAACGATTGCGGTATCTACAAGGCCGTTGCCAGCAATAGAGTCGCGAAGACGGTGGCTCGCTGCCGTGTAGTGATCGCCATTATCCCAGATTCTCCGGATTGTCCGGATGCGGTTGCTGTCAGCGATACGGAAGTTTTGCTGCGCTGGAGACAGCCACGACATGACGGTAACTCGCAGGTTATCTGCTACAGCTTGGAAATGAAGCAACATGGTAGGGCTGATTGGGTGGACGTGGCCAGCAATATCGATCACGAGTTCTACCTGGTGCACGGATTGTCCCCGAATACCAACTATCAATTCAGGTTAGCTGCCTACAATAGGGTTGGATGGAGTGATCGCGGTGTCGCTACGAAGAATATTGGCACTTTGGATGTTGAAGCTCCCAAGATTCAGATCACCCGGGCTATGAAACAATTGCAGCAGCTGACGGAATCTGGTCAGCACGTGTCTCCGGAAGAACGTGTGGGACGTTTGGACTACAGCTACGAGAAGACTCCGCTGAAGTGGACCGTTGAGGGTAACTACAATGAAAAGTTCAGCTTCATGTCGGAGATTTCACGCGGTCGGTACTCGATCGTGGTCAAGGGTCTGGAGAAGGCCACCGATAAGATCGTTGTGGCGAAGATCTTCGAACTGGGAGATGAACGCGTCGCTGAGGCAGCGGAGCGTGAATTTGAGATGCTACGAACGCTGAGACACGAACGTATCGCCAGTCTGTTCGCTGCGTTCAAACCGAAGAATACGTCGATCGCAGCCTTGGTCATGGAGAAACTGCAGGGCGCCGATGTGTTGACCTATCTGAGTAGTCGCGCGGAGTACTCCGAGCAGATAGTGGCCACGATCATCAACCAGATCCTGGATGGTCTACATTATCTGCACTGGCGCGGAATTTGCCACCTGGACTTGCAGCCAGATAACATCGTCATGTCCTCGGTTCGACAGGTACAGGTCAAACTGGTCGACTTTGGAGCGGCACAGCCCGTGTCCAAACTGGGCTCGAACGTGCCCAGCCTCAGCTGGTTGGACTTCACTTGTAAGTATATTGATGGTGTTTGGTAAGTGATCACGGTTAACTGAGTGGGGTTTTTTGTTTTTTTTCTAAACAGCTCCTGAAGTGCTTAACGGCGAAGCCGCCTACCCTCAGACTGACATGTGGAGCGTTGGTTGCCTGGCCTATCTGTTCCTGTCGGCAACGAGTCCGTTCCGAGGTGGAGACGAAGCCGAAACCCGCGCCAACATCAGCTTCGTTCGATACCGGTTCGAATACCTCTTCAAGGAGGTCACCCAGGAAGCCACACGATTCCTGATGTTGATCTTCAAGCGTGCTCCCACGTAAGGCCTATCGAACTTGGAAGAACCGGATGTTTGTAAATTTGATAATCTCGATGCTTTTCAGGAAACGTCCCTCGGTAGAGGAATGCTTCGAGCACAGATGGCTCGTCCACACCGACTTCATGATCAAGAAGCGCGAACGTGCAATCTTCCCGGGCAGCCGTCTGAAGGTAATGGCCTGAACGAATCACACCAAACATTCTGCAGCTAAACTAACTTGTTCTTCCAACTTTACAGGAATTCTCCGAACACTACCACACGATGAAAACGAACGAGGCCACCAAGTCGGAGACCATCTCCAGCATCGGTGGTCAATCCCCTCGTCAGCTGCTCAGATCCAACAGCATCCAGGAGGAGCTGCTGACCACTTTCTAAGCCTCAAACTCTATCAACTTCTACTACTAATTACTACTACTACTACTACTTAACCGATACTTTCGTCTCTTGAATCCCTCAACTATTTATTTATTTATTCGATAGAATGTAGCTTTTCTAGTACTTCAATCTATTACCTAAACCCCCCTTAAAAAAAGAAGTCTTTTGTACATAATCGATTTTTTATTTTGAACAAAGGAAAGTATATGAACTTGAGTTTATTTTTTTAGCGTGTAAGCAACTAGTAACTAGAACAAGCAGGAGCAGGACAACAAGAAGGAGAAGAAGCAACTACTTCAACTGGAAACTCTTTATATATTTGTATATGTGATATCCGGGTCAGGGAAACAATTTTTTATATGAATTTTTAACCGAATCTATAACCATACAAATACGTTACACATCCCTGAAGAAACTGGCTCGGACCCATATATATTCTGGTTCCCTACTTGTAGTCGCATACCATCGATCGTCGATCAACGAGTGAAGAAGAATAGAAAGAAGCACACACAAACACACACACGAACACGTAACGAGAAGAACTGTATAAAATTAGTAGCCATGGCGCATGGTAAGAAAGCTTTTAACAAATACACACCAAAACTTACTTTGAACAAGAATGTGTAAAATTCGTAGTCAGATTAAGTTCTTGATTATTAATTTAATAAAAAAAAAACAGTAAAACCTTTAGGTCATTTAACAAGTTAACAAACTTCGAAGCTTTAAAACTGTAGGAAAAATTATATTCTTGTTTTTACTTTTGTATTCTTCTTTTCTTTAAAAATTCGTTTAAATAAATAGTTGTGCAGAAAAAAAACAAATCTCGCAAATTTCCCACATTTGAATATCACCATCCTCCAAATTAGGTTGTTTCATTTCGAAAAACATACCGGTTTTTATACATTATCTGAAAGAACTTCGCTTTCTGAACACAACGACATTCATCCCCGTTCTTAAATAAAGATTAAAAATCATAATTTTTGATCCTAAATATTTTAGCTGACAGCTCGCTCCCATAAGAAGTCTCAGCGAGGGCTGCTAAGATGGTTATTTTTGCTAATGTAATCGAACTTATTTCAAATTCGGATTCCACTGCTAGTTGTGTTGTTGCTTCAAAATAAAACATTTGAACTGTGGCCAAGCATGCCATTATTCACAAGCAAACAATGTCAGTGCGATGACTGGAACACCAAGGGGTTGGTCACTCCGCACAGTGTGCCAAAAACAAGCTTGGACACACCTGGGCACAGTCATTGGTACTGTTTGGCACCCATGGTTACAATTTTTCTGATCTTTAAAGTTACTGGCAACACTGAACGTTTTCTGTGCCTGCGTGCGCAGTGTGCATGTGTCAAAATTTGTTATTGATGTTGCCACAATATAATCAATTTGTTTCAAAACACAACCGTGAATCTCCACCAAGTCTTTTCATGGATTCTCCTAAATCGAATTGTCAGCGCACATCCTGATGCCTGTCCAAAGAACTAGTTACATCATTTCACGCCAGACTGTGTAAAAGCATTCCGACCACCCAGTATGAAGAAATCAGGGCAATCGCTTGCATAGCAACACTTCGTTATCAAAATCGTTACACCGGTGACGGCACATTTCCTCCCAGACAAAGAACAACAGCTGACAGCGGTATCGTGAGCGGACCGAACTAGCGATGCAGCTCCCACGGCTGCGGCTGCTTCTAATGCTGCTGGCTGCTGGTCCGTCTCCTACAACATTGTTTTGACGAATTTTAAAGGAGACGGACCAGCAGCAGTAGCATTGGAAGATTGGACATCGCTAATTTGTGAAGCCGTGGCCAGCGTTGCCAGATTGTTTTATATCTTATCGGTATCGAAGGTATTAAAAATCGGTATTTATTGGTATTTGCTATTCATTTAATTTTATATTTTTGCCTTTTTTGAAAGCGAAAATTCTAACGATGGTTACGACTGGGACCTGAGGGGAATTGCTTTATTTAACGGCTTTCTCAGTCTTAAAACAATCTTTAATTTGTTTAATGTAATTTTCAAAATTTTCGTTGTCCTCAAATGGTGATCAAAATTGTTACTAAGCAGTTTTTTTCAATTAAATATCTTTAAATGAAACCAAAATATGGAAAATCAGCCACAACAACGACTAAACTATGGGCAGTAACGACAAACAATATTTCCCTTGAAAAAGGCCCCAACCCATGGCCGAAATGTCGGGAAGATTACATCGTAGTCGTTGACGTGTTTTAAGACTGAGAAAGCCGTTAATCAAAGCAAAATTTTAGCTTTTAAACTACACTACCGATCATAAGTTTAAGGACACCCCCAAAAAACCATGCAAATATGCTTTGTTCAATAATCTCTCATTTTACGTTCAATTTTCGATCTCCAAAGGTTATTTGAATGGTATGCATCGTATAGCATAAGTGTTCTATTACTACTTTTATTTCAAAATTTGGCCAACCCAATTCCGAGAAAATCAGTCACAATTCTTCAGAGTAAATTTTGAAAAATATTGTAACTTTGGGTGAACTTTTCGCACACAAAATTTGAAAATTATATTGAACAATTTGCCTACGAGAAAAGTTCCATTCAATACCTTTCAAATGATCTAAAGAGATCGAAAATTGGACGTAACATGACAGAGATATGAGCATTACAAATTTGTCATGTTTTTTGGGGTGTCCTTAAACTTATGATCGGGAGTGTAGGATCGGAAAATTCCAGAAGAAAACTTCGGGGTATGTTTGAATTAGCTTCTGAACGAAACTGAAAAAAAAAACATCCAGGGAAAGACGAAAGAAGCTCTCCTGCATGAATTTTGAGGAAAGTGCTAAGACGAGTTGGAAAAACATCCGGGAAAGTCTTGAAAGTTCGGACGAATTGACAAACTGGCGAAAATTTAAATAAACTACCGGAAAAAAAAAATCGAATTTCACATCCAAAGGAATCCAGAAAAGTTTCGGAAATCGGAAGTAAATTTCCAGAAGTAGCCATTTCCAGGGAAAGCCAGAAAAAACTCGGAAAAACCATCCAATAGAAGTTGAAAAAAAAAACCTTTGACTTATGGTCAAACTTCCAGAAGAAGACGACAGAAAATTCGGGGAGAATTAATTGAACTTCCTGGAGAAGATAAACGAAGCTTCCTGAAGACACTGGCAGAAACTTCCTAAGGTAGATTGGAAGAAACATCTAGAGAAAGTCGGAAGCCAGAAACAAGGACATAATTCCAGAAGAAAGAAATTCCTGGGGGATGTTCTAATGATCCAGAAAAATGTCCTGATACAGGTAAACCTCGATATAACGTAAAATGTCAATTATTCAAATTGGCATGACCAATAAATGAAGGATTGCCTCATATCTCTGATGGTGTTATTACTTTGCTTGATCAAAAGTGACAGTTACGTTATAACGAGGTATACCTGTATTCATAAAACATCCCTGAAGTTTTCAAAACATTCCTGAAATGCACTTAGGAATATTCCATTCCTCGAAATTCCTTAAAAGTTCTTGTAATGTTTCTGAAATTAGGGGCTGTTTTGAAGTTCTCTGGTCATCCTTGAAGCGCTCGGAACTTCCCTGATTATAATAAGAATACCGGAATATCTCTATCGATCTTTGAAGGTATCTGGACTTTCTTGAAGGTTACGAAATATCTTAAGTGCTCTCACAATTTTCTTGAATTTATTGTAACATCAGCATTGAAGTTCTCTGATCTTCCCGATGTTTTTAATGTTTTAAAGTTATCGACAATGCCATTAAAAAGCATAGAACTTCCCATAAAATGTTCTCACAATGATCAAATGTTCATGTAACATCCCTTCCGTTTCCTAAATTTGCATGAGCCCCTCAGGACATTGCTGAAGTTTTCAGAAATTTCCTGAGTTTCTCGGAACTCCTTTATAATTTCAGCAATTTCATTGAAATTCATTGATCTGTCCTGATGTTCTCGGAGCTTCACTAAAGTTCCTGAAAACCATTAAATTTCCCTGAAGTTCTTTGAACTTGTGAAGTTTCCAAAATATTTATGATGTTTCCTTAAGTTCACTGAAGTTCATTGGACTTTTCTGAGATTTCCGGGTTTTCGAATTTTAACAGAAATTTATGAAACTTCATCGAAACTTACACCTAAGTCTGGACTTTTCTGAAGCTTCAGAACTTCTTAAATGTTCCTGCAGCTGTTCCTGCAGTTCTGGGAAAGTTGAAAAATCTGGCGGGAGAAGATGAAAGAATCATTCGAGCGAAGGCTGAAGAAGCTTCCAAGGTAAGCTAGAAGAAAATTCCAGAGAAATTTGGATGAAACTTAAAAAAATGAATAAAAACTTCCAGAAGTTAAATAATGTTTCAAAAATATTTCTCAATTCCCTAGAAATCATCGGAAAGAGCCATCGACTATTTCTCGATGGATGAGCAGCCAATCAAAAGAAGGAAATGCAAACATTAGTCAAAAGAGTATCAAGCATAAGGCATCTTTAGAGATGAGTTTTTAGAATTTTGAAGGCTAAAAAAATAAGGTTTTCAAAAAGATACAAGTCTCTCACAAAAAATTTCTCCGAAATTCGAGCGCGGGTAGACAATGATAATTTTGATTTTTAAAAAAATCGGTTTAAATCGGTATAAGTTCTTAAAAATCGATATTCTGAAGAACCTTATCTGTATATCGGTATCTAGTTCGGAAATCGGTATAAATACCGATAAATCGGTATATCTGGCAACGCTGGCCGTGGCTCTAGCAATACACTATTTAGGTTAGGTCTTGACGGACGTTGGACTATGCCCTAAATTTAGCTTTGATATTGTTTCAATGATTTCTCCCTTCAATAAGTGGATGTTATCAAGATCGATCTTCCGCCGTGTAGTCTCGAATCGAATTGGAAAGGACATTACATGGGGGGGTGTGAATGTGTGCCCTTGGATGGTGCTGACAATGACGATGATGATCGTTGATGGTGGCGTGAGAGCTGACGAACGAGGTGCTTTCCTTCTAAGGACATGGACTCTATCTTACATTGGTTCATCGTGTTCGGATTTGAGACAGCCACCCGTCACCGAAATGGGCGTCACACCACCGGACGCTGCTACCACGACGGAGGCTGTCGCGACCGCTGCCGACATTTTGTTGCCAGGTGCTGGTGCCATGCCCATGGCCATTTTTCGATGTTCTCGTTGCTTCACGCACCGTTCATCGTCTTGCTCTAGTTTTCTTATTTCGAATTTCTCAGCAAAAGCGTCTTCAGATAACATTTAGATCTTAAGAAGGCGCAATTTTTTGCTGCACAAAGCTTGTCAATATCTTTCGCCGATCAAGAGTTATTGACGTTTGTTTACTAAAAATATGCACTTTTCAAATGTTAATAGCTCTGGTTGGGGCAAACAAAAAAAAAGTTTTTTGCAACATTTTAAAGGGCGTATGTTATTCTCAATAATATGAAAAAATTGGAGGTATGTTATTTTTTTAACTCGTATAAAATCAATTTGAATTTATTCATGTTTTTTTAAGAGCCACCCTAACTCAATTCAAGAAAATAGCCCTAAATCGGCCAATTTAAGAGATACAAAAAAGTTATTTTCAACAAAGTTGCTTGAAATTAGCTTAGCTTAATTAACTTTGCCGAAGAATGTATACCTTAATTTATTCAAACAAAAAAGTTAGATTTTTGATTTTAATGATAATAGGAACCACCCTAGAATTCATTGTCATAAAAATGAGGGCCTAACTATAAGGAACAACTTTGTAGAAGAGACTTTTAGTCTAAAGTTTCAATTTCAGGCTCAAAACATATCATTCCACCTAAATCTGCATTCTGGACCACTGTGCAATGTGTAGTCCCAACTGGAGTCCGCGTCGTTTTTGTAAACATTGAAAAACAAAACAAAAACAAGAGCTGTTAAATAACCGGGTTGCCAAACAAGGCATTATTCACAAACAAACAAAAGTCAGTTCAATGACTTCTCGGCACTGTCGGTACAGCTGCGGCACACTGATAAACACTGAGAAAAAAGTTGCCGCAAAATAAGTGTGTAGAGTGACCACTAGACTGATGCAAAATTTGAAATTTTCGCTCCACAGTGTTCAAACGGTTTCAAATCGGGTCCTGATAAGCCTCCGAAAGTTTAAACTCATTTGATAAGAAACTGACTTGGCACAAACCATTTGAAGTTTACATGGAAATTACTATGGGAAAACAAAACTTTTTGTTCATTGTCTTCCAGCCTTTTTACATATTGTACTGTTAACAAGTTCTATTACTATTCTTATGGGAATTTTTATCAGCTACAACTTAGCAGAAAATCGTTTTTCAGCCAAACGTCAAATTAAATAGTTATTAATTGTTGAAGAGATTGATAATCTTATGGCAAGATTAAGCAACTGTATTGTGGGCAACACTGTATTCTGCAGCGTGACATAGTAGCCATGATTTTTGTCCTCTATTCTACGTGCCATAAACACCAATGTTGCCTGATGAACAGTTGATTGAGCATTATCATAAGACATCAGTGTCTTGAATCATTAATAATTTTTGTTCCATGCATTTGATCGAAAAGTGGTCTTCAACAAGGTCAGCTATCATTTTCTAAAGTGGAGTGAACTGGTGAATGTTGAGATCGATATGAACCGAAATTATGGTTTCTCCGTAGTAGTTCCCATATAAACTTCAAATGGTTTGTGCCAAGTATGTTTCTCACTAAATGAGTTCAAATTTTGGGAGGCTAATCAGGGCCCAATTTGGAACTGTTTGAGCACTGTGGAGCGAAAATTTCAAATTTTGCATCAGTCTAGTGACCACCCCTTGCGGCACACTGAGAAAAAAAGATGGCGCAAAATGGGTGTGCATCGGGGTAATCTCGGGGGTAAATCACTCTGACACATTGTGCTAAAACCCACAAAAACACACTTCAAACACCCTTCCACCGCATTATAAGTAATTGTTTTAATCAATTCTGGCACCACTGCTAATAATGTTTACATTCGATTGTTTTGAAAAAAAAACCATGGTACCGTCCTGTAATTTTGTCGGTGCTGTAATAGCCGGGATAGGTAAACATTATAGATCTGGATAGAAAACCTCCAATCCAAAGAAGTCCGGAACTGATTGGGATCCGCGAATACAGCAGAATCAGGAGGAACAGATACTAAAAAGGTGAAGATGTCTTGCCAGAAAACCAAGACAAACGGAAAGAAACAGTTTCTGATTTCTGAATGTCAGTTATTAAGGTTCTCATCAGTAGGCAACCCAATCACTACAGATTGCATTTACCCTAGGAAGTATTGCCACCGATCGGAATCCTACCATCTACAGGGTGCGTGACGAATTTTTGCAGTAAATGGCATATTTGAGAAAAAATACACCAGTTAGTTATTCTAGCAATGAATTTTGTGCGATTTATTTTCTTTCACAACATATGGAAGTTGTAAGTAAATTTATTCAAAAAAATTGCCTTCCCTTTCGACTACTGTAGTTAGACGCTTCCGGAAACTGCAGTATGCACGTTTAAAATGTTTCGATCCATAGATGTCATCACTGCCTTGATTTTAGCTTTTAGCGACTTAAGTGTGGTGTGAGGGGTTCTATTGGTATCCCGTTGGACGACGCCCTATACAAAATAATCCAACGGATTGATATCGGGACTGCTTGGGGGCCAAATTTCTTCCTCCCAAATTTACGAAATATTTTCCGTAAGCCATTTCTGTGCTTTATTAGCAGTATGAGCAGGTGCTCCGTCTTATCACTTTCCCAAGCGTTTTTTTTAATATTATACACTGTTCTTTCAGACACATTTACCGACCGAATTATTTCTTTCATGCATACTCCGGCGCGCAACAAAGCGACAACGGCTGACAGATTGCTCTCTTGTTTCGACATCTTTACGTTTACTCAACATTGTTTGTTTAAATCTTACACCTAACAGTATAAGCTATCCAGTGCTGCCAAATATATCTAAATCACAGACAAACAGACGTAACTCTTCATTGTGTATCTTCGTTCGCGCATTTAACGGTTGATTTGAATATTATCAGTTCCGCGAACTACTCGCCGCAGCGCTGGCATCGGATCACTTTGACGTTTCTATACATTCTATATAACTTTTATGCAATATTGTTTGCGAGTTAGCGAGCAAGCTTGTTTTCCGCGAGAAGCCTGAAAGATGTCGCTACTGAGGTCCTATGTTTTGAGATACTATGTTTTCAAGAAAAACCTTTTCAAAGAGTTACGTCTGTTTGTCTGTGTCTAAATCATGATGCACAAGCATGAGAAATTACTATTTGAAATTTACTGCAAAAATTCGTCACGCACCCTGTACTGCGGGTACCGATTGCTTGGTCCTCCTTCTCGGAAGGCGCGTAGCCGTTCATCTTCCTCCTGCGGTGAAGTCTCATATCCAGACACGTTACTAAATCCTCCCACCAGATGTATTTTTTTTTTCATTCAGCAAACAACAGCGAAGAGATCGCAGGAGGATCAATGATTTTCAGCGCTTTGTTATTGTCGAGGATATGGTTGCCAGTAAACATATTTTGTCGGAAGTTTTGACAGTTTGACCGACACAAAGAGCACCCGGAAACAAATTCCGACACACAAAAACACACGTGAAACACAATACGCACAGACACAAGGTGACAGAGTGACTTACCCCCTGGTGTAGAGTGAACACCCCTTGTAATACCCCTAAACAAACCGAAGGCTTTCGAATACGTCTCAGCGAACAGAGTAGGCGGTGCGTCGGCAACATTGATTGAATATTTAAAATGCTTCTTCATTGCCATTTCTTTTTTTGAGATAAACTATATTAGGTAGTTATGACGACGAGGTTTGTATAAATAACAACAAATAAAAGAGCAGTTCGATAGTTTAACAACATTGAAGAGACAGGATTACGAACTAAAAGCTACATGTATGTGTATTGCCCAGTACTAGTAGGATCGAGAAATGCAATCCAGAACCAAAAATGGCTGAAATCGTCTGGGGGGGTAATACTCTTCAATTTTTAAACTTTAAGATACTATAATATCTGTGACGTCATCGGGCTATTGCCTGCCGTTTTTTTTAGGTTTCTTAATTTTTCGTCAATAGAAAATATGTGACCATTTATTTTTTGGTTTCCTTCTGCCTCTTCTGCGTTGGGACTAGCTTGGCGACGGATAAATATAAATCTCCCTTATTCCGAAAAAAAAATTGCGGTTCTTTTAGAATCGACCATTTGATTATGTCCATTAATGATGGTGGTAAAATTTAGTTTGTTTTCCTAGCGAAATTTGTAAAATACTTTTACGACACTATTACTTACTTGAGGGCGCCGGTCTACGGTTTGGAGAACTTGAACACCCCTCTCCGAAGGCTTTTGTTCTCCGGCTGAAAGTAGAGAACGATGGGTGGAAATGGTTAGCGAGTTTCTTACTGGTTAAAATGTACAGAAAGGACACATTGATTATAGAACCACTCATAAACAGACGTAACTCTTTCTCCTCAATCGTCGTACACGCATTTAACGTTCAATTTAAATATTATTAGTTGCGCGAATCCCTCACAACAGCGCTGGCATCGGATCACTTTGACGTTTCTACTCGGCAGATGAATCTGACTCATATTAGAGTACAGTTCACTCTAATTCGCAAAAGCGTACGCCCACTCTAATATGAGTAAATGTCACTCATATATGAGTAAATGTTACTCAAATCACCGACACGGCCAATGAGATCGACCCAATTTTTAGTTTACTTTAGTCATAAATCACATAAAGTGCAGGAATTCAGCGATGAGTAAATTTGCTTCATGCTTTTCCAGGAAAAAAATCCCGAATATGAAAAAAGTAAAGATTGGATTCACTCAGTCTATTGGTATTGGTACTACAGTACTTGTTCGCTAACTGGACTAAAAGCGAAGCCCAGTTAGCGAATTCCACTCGCTAACTGGGCTGACTTGACAAACGTCAATAAACACTGAGGGGAGCTTCAATGGATTGTTCGATCGACGTTAACAAAAATTCATGTGCATTGAATTGATACCGTGTAAAGTTTGTCATTGTTATTTTCACAGCATTCAATCTAGCTAGTTTAGAAAGGCTTAATGCTTTAGCTCATAACGCTTTCAAGTCGTGATTTCAGTGTGAAATGAAAATTATTTCAAATTTATTTTATGACCAATTATGACAACTAAATGTCAAACTAAATGTGACGTCCATTTTTGACGAATAACTGCTTAACGTTAACGTTAACGTTAAAGTTAACGAACGCCCAGTTAAAAAGCAGCCCAGTTAAAGATCGCCCAGTTAAAGATCGCCCAGTAAGCGAACAAGTACTGTACTCCTAGACTGAGTAAAATTTTCGTCAATTTTTCTCATTTTCCGACAGATTTTTGAGGTTTTCCACAGAGACAAATTTACAAGGCGAATAAGAACGACCCAAATTTGAGTTTAGTTCACTCATAATCGCCAAAAGTACGGGAACTCAGCGATGAGTAAAATTTGTCTCATGGTTTCCTGTGGAAAACCTAAAAAATCTGCCGGAAAATGAGGTCTTTAAGTAACATGGGAAAAATCTGGTACGCCATTTCAATTCTATTCAGCAGCTCTTGAACCGCCTTGTAGAGGGCCTTATCAAATTGTATGCCTCCGTGCACACCCTTATTGATGGAACTGTCGACATTCTTTCGTAAGTCGGTTGAAAACCCTTCGCGAAGAACGGTGGCAATTTCTCTCGCCGTTTTTCAGAACGGAGTAGCTTTTTCGAGCTGGTTGGATTAGCTCTTGCGTCAATACGCGATTGTCGTCTATAACCAATACCAGACAAGCAATAAATGCAACTACCTACCTGGTGCCACTATCCTGACTCTACTTCTGCCACCTTGAAGCCAATTTCCCTAGCACAGCCATCAAAATCAATGTCATAATGAATCAAAATTCTGTGACTGTGATCCACAGATTTCCTCATTCAATACACCCTGTAAGCGAAAGCGAAGCAAATTGTACAGCAAAAGCAACGGAAACGGACTACGAAACGAAACATCCAATCCACCAACAGTACCTTATTCCGAGCTCTCTACAGAATCGGAAGGCGGGAGAGAAGAATATAAAGATTGTTTTGTTTGACGAAAGAAGAAATGCAAAAGTTGAAGCTTTCTAGATGAAAAACTGTAGAACTTTTTAGTTTTTAATTTTTCAATAAAATACTCACCGCATGACGATTGCCGAACAGCATCTTCGCCTTGTCCTCCTCCTGCGGCGACGGTTGCTCGTCCACCAGCGCCTTCTTCAGCTTCAGCTTCTGCTTGATCGCCTGTTGAAAAAAAAAAGACTTGAAACTATTTCGAACTGCGTTTCAGCCGCTGCCAGTCCTTACCTGCGACAGCAGCACCCTCCGACTGTCGGACTTCATCGCCAGCAGCAGATCCAGCCAGGTCCACGTTACATTGTGATACTCCAGCGTCGGAATCAGCAGCGATAGGTCCGTAATGTCTTCGATGTTCTTCTCCTTGTTACCCTTGTAGCTAACCCTAACAGGCACCTCCGGTATTTTAATGTAGATGAACAGCTTGTTCTTCTCCGCCCGTTCCTTCATCTTCTCCACGTCGTCCTGGATCTTGACGTAGAAGTTACTATCCTTCGAACTCTTCTTCCCCTTGGAACTGCTGGCGGCCTTCTTGGAGCTCGCCTTCGTCGACACCGAAGATGCCGAGCTGGAACTGGCTCCATCCTCCAGTTCATCATTCCCTTCCGTTTCCAACGCATCCCGATCCGGGAAACAGAACTTCAGCATGGTGTTATAGAACTTCTTGGAGATGGCAATCGTAATAGGAACTACATTGATTTCGAAGTGCTCCTTCACGGATATTCCTCCGACCGGAGGTTTCTCCCGGCAGAACACCCGAAGCACCCGCTTATGATCCACGGGCATATCGCGTTGGATCTCCGTCGGACACAGAACCTCTTTATAGTTGTCCCGAGGGATCAGGTTGTTGATCCGGATGTAGCCTAACTCGAGCAGGTGATCCACGGAGTCATCGCTTTTGGAGTTTTTGGTATAGAGGAAATTGCTGAGGATCAAGTCGGCGATTCCAATCTGACCATCGGCTTCCGTTAGCCTCCACTGGGCATGTTTGAAGCAGATTTCGTTCGCCCGGACGATCGTCAGAGGTTTATCCTTCCGGATGGTGGCCAAGCGATTCGATGCCGACAACTGCGTTTCATTGTAGCACGAGAGCATCATGTCCAGTTCGTCACTTTTGTTCGACAGCATCTCCTTGTACTCACGGATCATCTTCTGCACTTCTTCGTACTCGATCCTCAACTCGTCGTTGTCTCCCTCCTCCAACCGTGCTTTGGTAATGAAGTGGATGTCCTTCTCCAGACATCGAATCTTCGACATTAAGCCTCGAATCTCCGTTTGCATATGCTGAATGGGACGTTTCTGATCCTCGCTGCTATACAGTTGCAGCTGGAACCGCATCCTGGCCAACCGCTCGGAAGCTTCCTTTCGCTGTGGTTCCACGTGCAGAAGTAGATTGTTAACTATGTCCAGGATCATGGCGTACTGGAGAGAATTCGTACACACATCCAAATCGTGATGCATCAGCGTGAACGCATCTACCGGTTCGTCCTGGTTCTCCCAAGGACTCATACTTTCCTCAACCGGTGGCGCCGGCACTTCACTAATCGTCCCCGGATCAATGCTAGTCTCGCCATAGCTGACGTAGAAGAACTCACACTTACACCTGGAAACGATTCGTTGTAACTGAATTGGGCACTTTCCGCCGCAGAAGCTCTCTCCGGTAGCCCCCACAGTTTCCGAAACGACTCCTCCCACGCTCTGTCCGCTTCCCACCAGGTGCGGCAAATCCGGAAACTCATTTATCACAGTTGCACCCTTATCCTTCTCCTGGATGTTATCCACCGTTAACCACATAATCTCCGCCATCTCCCGGGTGTCCCCGTCTTCGGCACTCACCGTAGCATAGTACTGCATACACTCCAACGATCCCACCCAAGTCGTCTTGGAAACGATCGTGTGATCTCTCCAAATAGGCCGATGAACCCGCTGCAAGATCTCCGCTTTGGCCGCACTTAAAATCACATATCCCGAGGTTTCGCATCCCTTCAGCAATACCTGCGAGTTCACCAGCGAAATGAACCAATTGTAGTGTAGAACACCTCCATCTTGACAGGCCTGCAGCCCCTTCAACTGCTGCTGCCTGGTCTGCGCCGATAGGTCATCGCTAAACACCACCGATTTGTGATCCGCCTCCGAGATCAACTGCTGCAGCATCACCAAACCATCCGAAGTCTCCTGCCGTTTGCCGTGGATATGTCCCTGACTACCACGGCTACCTCCATCCGAATGATGCTGCGACGAACTTCCCTTATCCTGACTGTTACGCGATTTCAACGGAGTATTGTTCCCCTCCTTCCGGAAGCACTTCAACGCCTCCGTCGACAGGTTGTTCTTCAACCGCTGACTCTTCATGAAGGAATCGAACAAGGCAAACGCCACGTCCCGATTATCTTTGGTCCAGGCTCCCTTCAGGTCGTACACCACCAGCTTATGCGTGGGCGTATCCTTCTCCCGCTCGTTCCCATTGGCCAACAGAGCCTCCCGGCCATACGAAACCTTAGCGACACTCAAGAAATAATACCTATAAAGGTCTCCATTCGAGTTTGAAAGACTCTCCGAACTTCCATCCGACCTATCGCTGATTGTGGTCGTTCTCAGCCAAATCTCCGCATCATTCAACTCACAGTTCATGTACATGATGGCCCAATCCGCCCGAGGTCGGTGGATCAACCCATCATCGATCGGGGACAGGGTCAAGGTATGCTCCGAACTCAGAGTGATCCTTCCTCCGTTCAACTGGAATCCTCTATTCAAAGCATGGGACATCCAGTAGAAAATTTGGAACTTGTGTAGACTCATCTGCAGATTCGCCCGCCGGTAGTGACGACTCAGTTGCTTCTTCCGTGGCCGAACATTGTTGAACACCAGTCCTCGGCGCGTTGGACGTGTCACACCCGACAGGATCAACTTGAGGCTTTCGAACCATCGGAGAGTGCTCCCGTAGAGGACCAGGTTCGGAATATCCGCATCGGATACGTTCTGCTTGATCTCGAACGATATCCAGATGTTAAGGTTCTGCGAGCGGAAGGCTCGGAACGAGTCGTGAACTTGGTTGCTGGAGTACTCCGGGAGTTTGTCCGGAGCACACGGGATGACGGCGTGATGATCGTTTGGATTCGCCAGGCAGATCCAGTTGAGTTTGAAGATCAATTTGAGGTTGGGGAGGTGAAGTAGACGACAATCGTCGTAGCGGGAGGCAGTTCTTACGAAGACGTTCAGATCTCCTTTGAACATGATCTTGGCGTTGGTGTAAACGATTCCGCAGTTGTTCCAGGTGAGTTCCATTTCCTCGGTCGTGTTGTAAGGATCCAACGAAGCATGAAGCAAGATGGTAAACTGTTTGGCGATGATCGTTAGGCGTCCATGCATAAGCAATCGCATTTTGTCCCAGAAGGGTAGAGGAGGACTGGGATCTCTGGACGCAGCGGAGATCTTCTCCATCATAAGATTGCACTGGGCCATAACCGGCTCCCAGCAGGGTCCGAACGCGTAGGCTAGAACATCCAGCTCCCAGTCGAAGTCGTGATAGAACTTGATCGAGGTCATACTCCGCTGAATTGTGTGAGTACCGAAGGGATCTCCCACCTCAATATCAACGTCTCGTTTAGCTCTTCTCGGTGGTACCATCTCTGCTCCAGCCAAATGTCCAAACAGATGCATAGCCTTCACGTGGAACATCGGTTGCGGATAGTCCCGAAGCATAAACTTCCATTCCGTACAACTGACATTGACTGCTCGACACCAAAGCGTCACGAATTCTATACCTTCCTCAGGCCATGGACTCTCCGCATCAATATCCCTAATCATCCGGATGGCATTATCCGCCCCGTGCACAGATGGATCCGCCATGGCCATAATCTCCAAATCCGTCATGATCCACGCGATCAATCTCGTCCGGGGAGGTCCCGTCTCCGCCAGTTTCTTCGATCGCTGGATGTAGATCTCCGAATTTTTCTTGATCAAATTTGCGTTCAACTCCTCCAGTGTCCCCGCTGGCAGGATCAACCTCTCCGAGCACAGCTGCGCAATTTTCTGATCAAACAACTCCTTCCGCTTGACACTTTCATTATACTCATCCAACAGCAAAACGTAGTTATCCCTCAACTTAACCTCAAACGGATCGTCACTCATCTCCATCAAAAACTCCTTGATCTGTATAAGCATATCACTCGGAAGCGGCGAATCCTGCGTGAACGGTTTCTTCTTGTACCCATGAATCACCTTCAGCCACTTGTAGATCGACACAAACTCATTCACAATCGCCCCGTAGAAGTCATGATCATACGGGAAGATAATCCTCACCACTCCGATCGAGGTCAGCCAAACCTTGTTGCTCCCCAACCGGAAGTTCTCGTAATGCTTCCTCTCCGCCCGCAGCACGTCCATCTCCGGCAACTGCTGGCTGTCCACGTCCTTAAACGTAAAGATATGTTGATCGTCGATCTTGATAAAAATATTCTCAAATGATATAAACCACCGCTCCTTGCGACTGACGTACAGATTCTCGCTGAAGATCTGCATCGAATGGCGTTCACTGATTTTGATTGCAAACTCCGCACTTCCTTCCGCGTACACATCCAAAATCCACGATCGCTTCTCACCGGAAGTACTCTTCGGGGGTTCCTCCATCGGCAACTCCAACGGAGGCTGAGCCATCTCCTTCGTCTTCAATGCCGCCTTCAGTTCCTTAATCTCCCCAAACAGCGTCACAATATGCATGTGCAGGTTCGCATTCCACATGGCTCCCGTATCCTCCAGGAAGTGGATCGCCAACTTCGGATACCTCGGATGTTCCGTATGTTCAACCCGAATAACCTTGAAATTGGCAAACATGTTCTGCATCTCGGCAGCAGCAAAATCGGACCCACTGATGTTCTTGAAATCTAGCACCTCCATGTGGAACTGATCCAACTTGACCACGTTGATCGCCGGAGTCTTTGCCAGGGACAACTCGTTCAAGTTAGCCAATAAACAAGTCTCGTACTTGTTGAAGAAAAAGCTGGTGACGTCCGTTACCTTCGCGCTGATCAGCAAACCGGGCTTCGGTCGCTTCGAAGGTGAACCGTCCACCACCTCCGACAGGCCATCCATCGAAGCGAAGTAGATCGAACTCCTTCTCGAGAGCTGCGTCGATCGGTACTGCTCCAGGCACTGCTTAGCTTGCACCAAATAATCCGCCAAACCCGGGCTGTACTCCGTCCGGAAGGTGTGGATTGTGAAGTCCAGCTTCGTGGCATCCGCATAGCTGCTCAACTTGATCAGACTTACTCCTACGTAGAACGGACTACCGCGGATGTGGCTCTTCTTGAGGCTCTGGCCGAAATCCTTGTGTGATGCATTGCTACTGAGGGACCACCAGAGCGATTCGATGAGCAGCTCCGCACTCCAGTGGCGCTTCTGGAGGACCAGGTTCAGCAGACGGTTGTCGTAGGCACTGCTGCGGCTTTCGGCAAACTGGTCCAGCAGCAGCTTGGTATGGTTGCAGCAGATTGAGGAGACCTGTGGGGGATGGAGTTCGAGATTAATGTGATGATTATTTAGAATGTCCCTGGGAGTTGTTTTTTTTTAATTCTGGAACTAGACTCGGAATCCTTCCAAAACTTCCATTATTTACGCCTGAAAATGCACCCTGGAATTGTCATAAAATTCCACATTCCAAGAAATTCGCTGACATCTTGCCATGGATTAACCTGAAATTCCATCCCAAATGTCCTTCAAATTGTCCCGGAATTACTCAGGAGTTCCACCTATAATTGCGCCTGGATTTTTTTGGATACTCGGCTCGAAATTTCCCAATTATTTTACAAGGAATTACCCTGAATTTCCACCAGAGATTTCCCTGAAACTCTACCGAAAATTTTCTAGGAATTCTGTCCGAAATTTCAGAATTAATTTTCCTAAAGTTCCATCGATTCGATCCGCCCGATTTTCGATAAAATGTCACATGGATGTTCGCCTAAAATTTATGCTGGGATTCGTCTAAAATGCTACCAGAAATTTCATCAAAATTCCGGCTTGAATATTCCTAAAAATCCAGTTGAAAATTCCATGATGTACCAGACGGGCTTTACAAGAAATTCCAAGAGGAATTTGTTTCAAATCCTTGATAGACGTTCACGGAAATTTCAGACGGAATATCCAGAAAAAATTAAAAATCTGGAAGCGGCTGAAATTTCCGTAAAATTTCACGTTTAATTTCCCTTAAATTCCGTTTGAATTTCAATGATGTGAATTTTCACTTGAAATGTTCCTGATTTTTCATCAGGAATTTCCATAAAAGCGACTGATTGGATTTTCCACCAAAACTTCTCTTAAATTCAAACTGCAATTTTGGACCAGAAATTTTCCTCAAATTCCACCAAGATTTTTTTAATCCTACCTGCAAATTTATATGTAATTCAGCATACCATAAAATTCAGATGAGCTTCAGACAGAATCTCAGAAAAATTTCCAGACAAAACATTCTTTGAATTTAGCTGATTTTCCGCCTATGATATCCTTGAAATCCTGCCTTAAAATTTTACCCAACTTTCTTTGAAATATTTCCCAGAATTTTCCAAAAGTTTCACCAGAATTTACCATAAATTTCGACTGGTATTCTGTTAAAAATTTCAATGTTTTTCACAATATGAGTTTCAGACAGATTTTCAGGTGAACTTCAGACGGAATTTGCGAAATTTTCAGAATTCAAAATATGCTTAAAATCACGCTAACTTTGCATGGAATTTCTCTAAAATTTCATATGAAGTTTTCTTTAAATTTTCCTAAAGTTCTACTTGGAATTTCCCTGCAACTTTCGCCTAAAAATTCATCAAAATTCCAACATCAAGCATCCATCAATACAATTTCTTTTGGAGTTCACCTTTAATTTCTCATGGAATAGCCAGACAAAATTAAGATTCATAAAGCTCCTACAGTTTACCTCAAATTCCACATGAAATTAACATAAAATATCACCTGAAATTTTCCTGAACTTCCATCTGGAATTTTCTAGATGAATTTCAATGTAATTCCGCTCCAGAATTGCGCCTGAGAATTCTTTTGCAAATTTGCCAAGGAATTTTCCTGAAAGTTCAACCTGAATGTTTCTTAAAGACCACCTGAAATTTTCCAGAAATTCCAGCTCCAAATTTGCCACAAATGCCACCTGAAATTTTCCATTAATTAAACCGAAAAATTCCCTGGAATTCCGGACAGAATTTCCCTGCAATTTATCCCATTCCACCTAAAACTATCTTTAAAATTTCCATACATTTATCTGCAGTTCTAATTTTGTTGGAATTTGCTAATTATCTTGACAGAGATTTTTCTGAAGAATGTCTTTGAAATTGCTCCCGAAATTTTACCAGGGATTTCAAACAAATACTACCAGAATTTTCCTGAAGTTCTACCTAAAACGTCTTTATAATTACGTATGCGATTTTTCGCAGGAAATTTCCCTGAAATTCACCCAAGAGGATTTACTTAAGGATTCTTCCTAACATTTCTTAATAATTCAGCATATTCCAAGCAGATTTTCAGTTGAACTTAAGATTAAATTTCAGGAAAATTCCAAGTTCAGTCAAAATTCAGAATCTGCCTGAAATTTCTCTAATATTTTGATTGGAAATTCTCGTAAAATTTTCCCAGAATCATCATAAAGTTCGAAATGGAATTTCCCGTATCTTTCCCATAATAATGCATCAAAATTCCAATGTCAATGAAATTACTCTTGGAATGCTCAGTTGACTTCAATTGGAACTTATCTAAAATTTTACCTGTAATCTCCAAACAAAATCAGGATTCAGGAACCACCTAGAATTTACCTCAAATTCCATCTTAAATTAACATTAAAAATGTCACCTGAAACTTCCCTGAAATTCCATCTGGAACTATCCTGAAGAATGTCTATATGATTCTATTCCAGAATTGCCCTGAGAATTATCCTGCAAATTTGCCAAGAAATTTTCCTATTCCAAAAATTCCAAAATCCAGGTTTTTTAACAAAGCATCCATCAATAAAAGGAACCTCATATTCAACCTGAAAATAATATAGCTATGATGTCACCTCAAATATCCCTTAAAGTCCATCTGGAATTTTTCTGATGAATTCCGCTCCAGAAATGCCTGAAAATTCTTTTGCAAATTTTCCAAGGAATTTTCCTGAAAGTTCAACCTGAATGTTTCTTCAAACCCGCTGAAATTTCCCAGAAATTCCAGCTCCAAATTTGTCACAAATTCCTCCTGAAACTTTTCATTAATTCAACCCGAAAATAACCTCTAATTCAAGAAAGAATTTCCTTGAAATTTATTCCGGACATTCTCTGTCATTTCATGAGAGATTTCCCTGAAATTCCACCAAAAAATAATAGCTTTAAAATTTCCCGAAATTTATCAGCAGTTCCACTCCAAATTTACATGAAATTGCACCTATTAATCTTGCCTAATTTTTTTCTGAAGAATATCCTTGAAATTTCATCTGAAATTTCATCCGGATTTTCCAAATAAAATTTAACTGTCTTGGGGATTTCGGCTCCAGTCTTCTAAAGCAATAAATTCTCCAAGACAGACCCTGCTATACACCAGTCGCGAGCGCGCTCAAATATTTGTAAACTTTCTCTTTAATTACATCTGTCTATATGATTCTACTCCAGAATTGCCCTGAGAATTATCCTGCAAATTCACCAGGGAATTTTCCAATTCCAAAAAATTCCAAAATTCAGATTTTTTTTTAACAAAGCATCCAACAATAAAAGGAACCTCATAGTCAACCTGAAATTAATATATCTTTAATGTCACCTGAAATATATCTGAAAGTCCATCTGGAATTTTTCTGATGAATTCCGCTCCAGTAATGTCTGAAAATTCTTCTGCAAATTCACCAAGGAATTTTCCTGAAAGTTTCTTCAAACCCGCTGGAATTTCCCAGAAATTCCAGCTCCAAATTTATCCTGAAATTTTCCAATAATTCAACCCGAAAATAACCTCTAATTCCAGAAAGAATTTCCTTGAAATTTATTCCGGACATTCGCTGTCATTTCATCAGAGATTTCCCTGAAATTACACCAAAAAATAATAGTTTTAAATTTTCCAGAAATTTACCAGCAGTTCCACTTCAAATTTACATGAAATTTAACCTGTTAATCTTGATGAAATTTCCAACTTATCTTGCCTATTTTTTTTTTCTGAAGATGAAATGTCACCTGAAATTTTATCCGGAATTTCCAAATAACATTTAACTGTCTTGGGGATTTTCGGCTCCAGTCTTCTAAAGCAACAAATTCTCCAAGACAGACCGTGCTATACACCAGTCGCGAGAGCTCAAATACTTTCTCTTTAATTACATCTGCGATTGGCCTACAATTTCCCTGATATTCCATCAAGAGGTAGTTCTCTAGGATTCTACCTAAAATTTCTAAGTAATTTAGCATAGAACAAGGTGGATTTACAGGTGAACTGCAGACGGAATTTCTGTGAATTCCCAGATTCCCAGATTATCTTTGAATTTCCCTGAAGTTCTGCCTGAAATTTCCCGCGACTTTTGACGGATATTCCACCAAAATTATGTCTTGAAAACTTCGCCTAGGAACTTCCTCTGAAATTTCCAAGGCGGAATGTTTCACCTTCAATTTCCCTCTGATTTCACCTGAAATTTCCCTGGAATTCTATCTAAATTGCATGATAATTCAGCATACAAATTCCGGGCATATTTTCAGGTGAACATCAGATGGAATTTTCAGGGACATTTCAGGCAGAATCAGAAATCAACATCCGACTAGAATTTCCCTAAAATTTTGCCTGTAATTTCCCTCACATTTCACCAGAAATTTTCTTTAAATTTTCTTAATGTGCCATTTGATATTACCCGCAGCTTTCGACTAAAAAATTATCGAAATTCATATTGCAAAGCTTCAATCTATAAAATTTCGCCTGAAATTTCATTGAAGAGTTTTCATGAAAATTGACCTAGAATTTCCATTCAATGACACTTGTAATTTTCATTCAATTATTTAAAATCCACCTGAAATTTACCGCAACTATTGCCTCCCCCTGAAATTCTACCTGGAATCTGGTTAAAGTTTTCTAATTATTCGTGGAATTTCCTCTTGAAATGTACCTTTAACTTCACCAGAAATATTTCTCTGGAATTCTACATGAAATTTCAATGAATTTCTCGGAAGAATTTGCATGTAATTCCACTCCAGAATTGTCCTGATACTTCTCCTAAAAAAAATCTCCAATAAATTTTCCGGAAAGTTTAGTCGGAATGTTTTTTTAAAGTTCATCCGAAATGGCTCTAATGTTGGCCTATGGATCTAAGATTGGGCCCATCGCTAATAAACTGCTATTTATCAATTTTATCTAGATGAACGTGTCATTGGGACGGTACTAATGGATACTTTTGGTCGCTATTGAAAATTTAGTCGATCGCTGAATTTATGGTTGGGCTCAAATTAGGGGTATTTAGGCCGACATTACATCCATTTCCCCTATATAAATAATTTCCTAGAAATTCTACT